CCTCTCATTTCATTCCGAAGCATTCCAGGCCCTTCTTCTCTGCGTGGGTGGTGGTTCAAACTATTTGGCCTTAAAATTGTCAACTCATCTCGACGGAGGAGTACTTTTTGCCTGCAATAATAACTGAATGATAAAGTTTTGCGTGTGAAAATGGGTGGCAACAAATTGGACACAACTCGAATTTCAGCAAGGCAAATATTCTAGAACACGAGTGGTGAAAATTAGTGACAGAAGTTGATATAAGTAGCAATATAACATAATTTTAATCATACCTGAACCCGAATACCTGCTTGATTTCCCTTACTCTCCATAATTTAAATTAGCTGATGCCAAAAGCTAATTAAAGGGTTATTCAAAACCATTTAGGCGATTAAATTGAACATTTGCCTGGCCAGATCTAATCACATTTGGGCGGCCAGTGGCCAGTTGCCACCTCACACGGTTGAATGGATGGACACGGAGACTACAATCGACGGGCGGTGGCTAATTAAGGCTCTGAGGTTACGGTTACGGTTACTTGGTGACTTGGCAGTGACAAACCGCAATCGGCGTTTTGATTAAATATTGACCCGAAGCGGACTCATGACCACGTCTTCGGCGGCGGCAGGCAATCGCTGCTGTCTGCAAACAATTACGGCTAAATTCATTAGTGAGTCCATGCATAATTAAGGGAAGCAAGCAGAAGGCGTGACACCTCGAATAGCTTTGAGTGGTTTGCGGGTGGGGGATCCGTATCCTCAGAGGAAGTAAGGCGACCGTTTGATCAGCTATGGCATAAAAAAGAAATCAATGTCCTTGCAGGAAGTGCCTTGGCAATTTGCAATCCTTTGTGCCATTACACAAAGCTTCCGCTGTCTGTATCCTGGCAAATCCTCGATCCTAGTTGCTCTTAGCCTGCAGCTAAACGCTGCTGCAATCAAAGCATGGCGTTAGTGCTCCAAACCAGCAGAAGCAGCAGCATTAATCCTTCATTGGCAATCAGGAACCTGTGATGAACTCGCTTTGGCCCCTTAAAAACCCAAAAAAAAAAAACGGAAGTTGTAAAAACGCCAACGCCGCACAAAGCAAACATGGAAGGGTATTTTTCGGGGGCCCCAATGGCTGAACGAAGATGGGGGCTAACCAGTGGCACGGAACCGATTATAGTATTCTGTATTTGGATTCTGGATTGAGGATTGAGGATTCAGAACCCAGACCCTGCGGGGCATTCGTCAAACGACGCATCAAGCGAGGCAATTGTTTCGCCAAGTTTCTTTCTCGCTTTCGCTTTGTTCATTATGTACTTTCTGCTCCTTTCAGTTCTTTTATTTTCCTTTCGTTTCGAATCGTTTGTCCTCGGTCCTTGGTCCTTGGGCTCCTTCCGGCGAGGAGAGGAGGATGTGGCATAAACACTGATTGATTGATTAGAGGCTTGAGCTGGAGACGGGAATGTAGCTGGCGAAAGCAGCACAAGTGCTCCTCGACTCGCACGGGGCACTAAACCTAATGAGAAGCCCTCGAGCAAGTGTCGCATCAATCAAGGACGCATTTAATGCGTTATAAGTGTGTGCGTATGATAGCAACGATTTCTCTTGATTTGCGATTATTGTTTAGGTGTATATGCTTCGTCTGACAGCCGGCGATTAGCAAAGTGGATCAGCGAAATGAATGAGTGTTCTCGGGACCAGGACCGCCACAGCTGACTGAATCCTTTAAGTGGGTCTGACCTTAAAGCTGTACTAGTTTCAGTTTTAGTCTCTGCTTTCAGTCATCCAACCATATACAACAATGCCAATTTCCCCCTGCCTGGGAACTATATCGACGTGGCCAGGCTCAAGTGTCGGCGATTGGCATCAATGGCTCCGAAATCGATCCTAACTGGACCATCCAGCAGAGCTTACCTGCTGCTGGCTCAGCACACTGGCCTGTCATGGCTTCCGCATTAGATACCGGTCAACAACTGCTCTCCAGTAGCAACTTTTTTTCATACACTAAAAGAATTGGTTAGAAAATTGGAGTTGGTATTAGTTTTTAGGATCAGAATGAAATGAGAAAATTATTTTTAAAGTTCAATGTTAAGATATTTGGAGTTACCCAAAGTACTTTCCCAAATACACTGCAAATATTCTATCTTGAAAATATTTATATATCCAAGATTGTAAAGATTTAGTTAAATTTTCAATACAACTTAACGATTTTTCCCTAAATAAAAATGATTTTATAGATATCCGTTATAAGAATATTAAAGTGTAGGAAGTACAAAAAAATCTATAAAGATAATCCAGTCATAGAATGCCTATTGGCACCATAAAATGGTTTTAATTTGAGTGTAGCCTTTTATTACCCATACAAAAATCGCCTCTATGCTGGGAACTATTTCATGTCATTCCAGAAAATCATATCAATTGGCCACTGGTTCTCAACAGTCAGCATGATGGTTATACAGATGGGTTGCTGACGTGTCTGCCCCATCTATTCATCCAGTTTCAACATCATCTATATACCCACGTAGTGAGATATAGATACTTTTGCCCCCACCTATCGCTCTTGGTAGCCCAGTTCGTGACTCTGAGTCTGTTGCCCCCCCGGCAAAGTGCTCATTATCAGCTGAAATGTTGTCAATTACGGATTTTCGTTTGTTTTGTTTTGATTTGACTTTCAATTGAATTTCTCCTCGGAATTTGAATATCCGGCAGCATTGTCCTTTGTCCTCGGCATCGTTGCCATCGTCACGAGCGGTTGCCTTCGCAAGAATCCAAATCCGCCCCGAAAAACCCCCAACCGCCTCCAACTCTCGATTTTCCCCATTAAGCTGAGCGCCCTTTTCAAAGCTGACTGCTTATGATGAGCTGGGTTCTTATTGGTAAACTGCAAACTTTGTACATAAAAAATTAATTTGATTATTTTTCCCCAACGCTTAGATTTGCGTTAATGACGCCATAATCAACTGTTTTATAGCACTTTAAAAAAGTTAATCCCGGCACATATACATGCACTGGACATTTTATTAAGCTAAAGCTGTAACTTTTTTAATTACACCGCTGGAGGGCGAATTTCTGTTGCCACTTGGAGAGCGCCGAATAATTTGTTAATTTACGTTGTTTATTATTATTTTGATCCATGGACCTCAGTTGGTTGGGAAAAACCAACAAAATACATACACTAAATCAAATTATTCAATCTTATTTAACCCTCGAAAGCACACGAGTCGGGTTGGGCGAGTATTTTGCCATGCGGAGAAGAGAAATTTCAATTAAAATCATAATGAAATATTTGAAAATTTGTTTTTATCAAATTGGCAGCCGGACTACAAATTTTGTGAATTCCTCACGGCGGAGAACACAAAGACAATGGGCCAGGGAACACAAAGGGTAGATGCTCAGGAAGCGGCAGCATTAGTTCAGCAGGATATCAAAACCCCCGGCCAGGCGAAATAACCGCAAAATAATTTCCCTTAGTGCCCCGAAAACAGAAAGGCTATTAGTCAGAGGGAAAGCCAGCTCGGGCCAGGCAGGCCATTCAAACAATAACACCGAAACATTAAAGTTCAAAATGATGACCCGAACATAATCGACTTGCCTACAATAATATTTAAATTTAATTTAAATGCTCACATGAGGGCATTTAGCAGAGAGTCTCGTCGATCCGGAACGAAACCCGCAAGCAAACAAATCGATGAGGATGTGTCTCAATCTGCCGGACAATTTGCGAAACGATATGCTATGGCCGAAATGGAAAGGTCGTTGGTTGTTGGGCATGCAAAATGCAAAGGCAAAGCCAACACTTCTTACGTCCTTGGTCCTTAGTCCTTCGTCCTGTGGGTTGGGGTGATGGGTGGGCGGGTGTATAGGTTAATGCGTTTGTTGTTTTTGCGGCAGAGGGTCTGCAACTACGACGATAACTTTGAGTCGCCTGCTTAAAAGCACAAAATGATTGGAAGAGCACAGCACAGAGAAGCCCAGTCCATCCACTCTCTAATGGCATTTTATTGCTGGGTTTTGGCTCTGTTTATTTCAGGGGGGATTGCCATTCAAAATTAGAACCAAAACGCTCTGCGCACTCGACCTTAAGACAAGAAACTGAACGTTCAGGGTGCAGTAAATGACATATAAGCCCCGACCCAGGCTTAAGTGCTTAGGGCGCCCTGAGTTAATGCGTTGATATGATGATGATATCATTATCAAAATATCCTGCTCCGAAACGAACGCAGGCCATTTGTAACTTTTGACCATTAGCTTCTGTTTTTGCGGCCAAATGGAAGCCAAACAATTGGTCTTGCTGATTTTGCGGTCTAATTGATACAAGAAGCAGACGTCTTGTCCTGTCAGCCAAGTTACAAATGCAACCAGCAACTGACAATTGTTTTCAATGTTTTGGTCAGCATCTCCCCCTCATCTCTTCTAGAACTGTCCACATCCAATCTATTTCAGTTGTCAGAGACACACACACGCAGTCCCCTGAATGCCGAACACAGCCCCCAGCTGTCAATCAGTGGGTGTTCTGATGCATCTGTCTGGTTCGGTCTGGTTTAGTTTGGTTTGGGCGTACGCTGCGTATGCTTAATGCCATTTGGCTCACACACACACAGACAGAGAAGAGGATCGGGGATCCACATAGCCTGTTGTGTGCTGTTTAGTTAAAGGTTTTTGTCTTGTTGCGAAACTTTTTAAGCACGTCGAGCTGTTGAAACTTACGGACGCGTGTCATTGAAAGCCTTACAAAGTTGTCAAACGGCAGAAAGAGAAGAAAAGGGGCACATATATGGGATGCAGTCTATGCTACAGAGCTCTCTATACGTAGAAACAAAGAGCACTGAGATAGAGGATAAATAGACTGAAGATGGGCCACGATATGGGGCCAGAATGGAAGAGCAACATTTCAATTTGCTGCCACTGCTACTGCTGAAACTTTGACAAGTAGCCAGCCAGTTATCAATAAGCCTGAGAGCATCATCTCAAATATGATTATACTGTGCTTCAAACTTTTTACTCATGCACTGCAACTCTTTTTACTCTTTACAGCAGCAGCAGATATTGCGACTGTAGCGGCAACAAACAGACATGGCCAGCAAAAGGATCCGGCCAGAAGGAGGCGAGCAGGAGGGGCGAAAAGGACGAAGGATGAGCAGCGCCTGCCGACGACCGGGAGCCTTGCATACGGCATTCAATATGCTGGCGTTGAGCTGGATTATAATCTCAGAGTTATTGCTCAGTGGTAAGTGTTCAAAAGACCCATATATAAATGGCATATTGCAGGGTTTCCTTTTTTCCCCATCAGCCAGTCTGTCATGTTAAACAAGCTGAATTTATTATGCCAACTGCGTGTTGCGGGGGCGTGGTTTAAATTGATTATTTAATCTACCAAATAACTGTTTATATTATGCATTCGCCCCAGCCATTGACCAACCATTTCGACCATATAGCAACAACCAACGACCGTCGAGTCGGTGAAGTAGTCAATTTATTAAATGCCCCGGGACTCGGCCAGCTCTGGCCTTTGATTAATATTGGTTTGTTCAATTAAAGTTGCCATAATTTGGCCAACCACATGCCTGTCACTCCACTTGTTTCCGTTTCCCTCCCTCGGAACCCGCAAATCGATGAAAAGTTTTCGAATGACATGTGTGAACCGTTGCGGGGACAGTTCATTTATTGAACACTCATTTCCCTTCGAGGCAGAAACTGCATATTCATTATGGTCTTTTATGAGACAGGATAAGAAGGATGCCCGCGAAGTATAATAACGAATAAAAAACCTTTTAACTGGACCAGCACTTAATTAAGTACCCAGTTTGTTTAACAAATGGGGATGTGAGATTTCTATATCGATTAATAGAAAGTACAAATAGTTCTTATAAGGCTAAGAAAAATCATAAATTTTTACTTTTAATTTTTTTAATATTTTCCAGTTAAACATACATTGTTAAAACCAAGATTACAAAACAGTGATCATTAAAAAAATCATATTTTAATTATAATTTAAATATAACAAATTAGACAGACCGAATGAATAGAAAATTGGAGAGAGACAATATTTCATTTTATTTTCATTTACCCTTTTTATTATCATGGTGAATATTTTTTTTCAGTGCACATTTGCAGCCATTTTATACTTACATACATTCATATTTACATGATGTATTTTTTGGGAATATGTGTGGGTATGTTTGTACGTACCTTTATGCGCGTTGAATTTGGAAGTCCCAGTTTCAAACCAAAACCATAAGTCCGCGGTTGCGATCAAGAATATTAATTAATACACCGCACTTGTACTTGATAAATTGGCACTGCATAGAAGATAAATACATTTTAGCAATTAGTTGATATTTACACAACGCCAAAAGAACAGTCACTTCTTAAAAAGTATAGGACTTTAGAAGGGTTTCATACCCTAATAACCTTACCGCTTACCTATTTACCGGGAATGTATAGTCAAAACACATCAATGACGATAAACACACCAAAATCACAGAGTTTTTGTCTTATTGCACATTTTTACAAAAATTCAGGATCATAACAATGAAGAAGAAGAAGAAAACAGCTGAAAATCAGGGCTGCAACTTTAAACATGTGATCAAACTATCGATATATCGTCAAGTCACGGATTAGTAGCCATGTATTAGTCACGGTATTTTGAATTTTAAAAACTTTAAATTTTCAAGGCTTTTAAAATAAAACTAATTTTATTGAATTTGTGATCGTGAAAGACGTGTATAATGCATACTATTTAAATATTTCATTTTATCTTACAAAACTCAATGAAAATATTAATTACTCTCGTTAATTGTTTTAAAAATCGTTTAATTTGAATGGCATATCCCGATAGCAAGAATAACACTTTCAGCTCTTCACTTAAATTAATTTTACACGCTGTGCTTATGCCATAATCATATTGGCATATCTCTTTAGTGGCATTTATTTAAATTTCCAATTGATTCGAATGAGCCATGTTTAATGTTGATAATTGCGGCAACTCGGGCTGAATTCCGTAATTCACTGAGTGCCAATGAAAAATGCGAATCGAAATCGAAGCGAAATGGAATAAAATAAATAAATTGCATTTAATGCAAGTCAAATTTGGGCCGTACCCTCGACTTTGTCATAAATTAACATGCAAGTGGAGTTCCCAGTAGTGCAGCGCTCTGATCCCTTTCCTTTGCCGCCTGGCTGGGTAATTGGGTTTTATTTTTCGTGTTTTTTATTTTTATTTTTTTTTACCGACCTTCTTTTCCCTTTTTCCTGTTGGCCCGGGCATAATCGAATTCGTTTGGTTGCGTATGCGCCATGTGGGACTCGTCACTCGGGTGGCTCTACGGTTAAACGACTTTTGGGACATCCTTCAATATTAATGTTTGCCACCGCACTCTTTCAGCCCACTGCCTGAAGGATCTGAAGATATTTGTACCGGAGGCCGTCCTCATGGGAAATGCAGCGACATTGTCTTGTCAATACGATTTGGAGCAGGTAAGCGACACTTCCTCAAGGAGACGTGGCAACAAAACGGAGCAGGATATTGTCGTCGGCGGCATGCTTAATTATTATAATTACTTGCACTTTGTCTTACCGCCGTCGCCGTTGTCGCGTCTCCCGTCGCCTATTGTCCTTGCTGCTCCTTTGGATCCTGCAGCTCCTACAGCTCCTCACTATCCACTCAGGCTTTTCATTAACGCATTTTCCTTCCGTTCCTCCGCAGGCGGCGCTTTACGCGGTACGCTGGTACTTCGGACAGGAGGAGTTCTACCGCTACGTTCCCCGCGAGGCCAAGCCCACATTTGTCTTCGCCGTCGCCGGCATTAATGTTGATGTAAGTTAAATTAAGCATGGGATCGCACAATGTGCACTAACTGCTCCTTTTCCCCCCTATTAAGAACGTTACTCCTTGGGTTTCTGGGTATTTCTTTAGACTCAAAACAAATGGTTTGGATGGAATGGATCTCCTGTTTTTTCTTTATTTTCCTATATGAGTACTTGGTATCTGTTAGTGGGCGGTCACGATTATACGTATATCTCCTCTTTTTTTTGTTTTTCTCGCCTATTGTCGGCTTAATGGACAAATCACTGGAGCAGCAGGGCATGTGTTTCGTTCGGGCCGAGTTTGCATTTCAACAAATGCAAAATGGGAAAGCATTCAAATGTTGTGCAAATATTTAAATGCGGACAATGCCGGGGGCTCTTGCCTCGGGCAGTTGCAGTTGCTGCTGCTGTTGCTGCTAGCATCTTGCCGCCTCTTTGTCCCTCTTTCGGTGTCACCCATTTTATTTCTATTGCTGTGCAATATTTGTTCACTTTTATTTACAATATTCGGTGGTGTTTTGCATTTACAAGTGTGTATGTGTTGTCTGTGTATGAAATATTCCGCTCTACAATTTGGAAAGTGCCACAGCACACACGCAGCCGGCTGAAATATTGCGAAAAGTGCAAAATAGTTTATGGCGCGGCTGCTGGCAAACAAAACAAACAAGTAGACAAACAAGTCCAGCGGCAGCAGCAGCAAGGAGCGGATAGAATAACCCACCTAGTGGCGGAAAATGCTCGGCATTCGCTTTTCCATGCTGCACTCATTAATAAAAACAACAGCCGCAAAGTAAGCGATAAATTATTCGCCCAGAGTCCAGTGTTAAAAGTGGCGAAATTTTTCCGACACCATTTTAAAATCACCGTTTTCCATCTTCTGTCTCGAAAAAAACATTGGTCTGCAAGGTACTTCTTTTCTATTTAATGGGAGTGTCTTTCCTTTTTATATGTTCCACAAATTTCTTCATTCGTACTGTCCAAGACCGTAATATCAAAAATATTACAAAAGAAAGACTTCAATCATCTTACTCAGCAAATCGTAATTAAAAAATGTAGAATAAATCTTCGAAACTTATTAAAATTTATTTCCAAATTTCGTTTTTTTTTCCCCACTTGAAGTAAACCTTCCATTTTTTTAAATTTAGATAAATCTGAATAACACAATATAAAATTGTACTATATTTATTAATATAAAATAAGAATTTTTAAATTAGTCGTTATTTTTCTTAGAAAGTAGTAGAATATCCTTCACATTTTCGTGATAGTAAAAAAATATCGATCATTGTGACCGGTGCCTAACCAAAGATATTATATCGATAGCTATTTTATTTGCATCTCTAGTTTGTCAGCAAGAAAATCACATCCGTTTCCCCTCCTTAATTAATTTAAGCAATGATAATATTCTTTGAATCAATCCAATAATGGCTAACCGCATTCCGCCCTTCAATAACGACTGGATCTCGGAGGCGCTCCAATTCCAAAAGCTATTGGTCGCCACCACGATGCGGGGACTGTGCTCCGAAGTGCAGGGACTGAACCGCGTGGAGCTCCGTTGGCTGGATAAATTTGAGAAGAAATGGTTGGAGGAGCTGGACAACCTACAGCCGGATTCGAAGCCTCGTCTGTTCTCAACGCAGTCGAAAATTATAATAGAGGAGATCGTTTGGGACGACGCCTTGGACGTGGACGACAATGAGATGGTCATGGACCGTATCTGCATCCCGGCAGCTCGTTCCCATTGGAACCAGCGCTACTTCGAGGTCAGGATGCCAGCCTACTTCCTCAAGAGGGGCTTATTGAATGTCCACATCAACTTGGAGATACTGGAGTTTATCATGCTCGCTCCCGAAGAAATGGCCAACGCCCTTTTTCAGAATTTCGTAGACGATGTGGTCGAGGACCTGGAAAATAATTAGAGTAAAAATACTTCTATAATATTATTATTATATTTGTATAAGCTCGCTTTTGTATTCCATAGTTAATACATGTGTGATACAAAATTGTACTTTTATTTGTTACCCTTAATGAATACTCATGGGTCTTACAAGTTCCATTCACAAGAATGTTCAGGAATAAGGTTCTGAAAGCTAGATACCTTCTGTTTTTGAAAGTAAATATTACCGGGGTAGTATTTTTAAAATATTAAAACAATTACGAAAATGGTAGCCAATAAGGATTTTTTTTATTTCACAAGACTCTGTTTCTATGACCCCTGCGAAACACAAGATAATATTGATTTGATTTAAAGACCCCATAACATCTGCTATGTGCTGAAAGTGTTGGTATACAAATAACCAGTCGGTATAAGAGCGTCGATTTCCGAGGGCTGTGAAAAACGAATCGATTGTCGTATAATCATAAATAAATAAAATTGAATTTGCGATGAAAAATTTGTGTGGACGAAATATAAATTGAAAACTCATTCGTCCGCACATAAAACTGCAAACTCATTTACAAACACTTCGGGCCACATTTTTCAAATGCGCCGAAAGGGGGCGAACCGTTAAATAATCATAAATAATGGCATAAAGCGAGGGCGAAATGATGGAGTAATGTTTGTTTTATGTAAGCGAAACAAAGCAAATTGGGGGGATGGTTGGTTGTACGTACGTTGTTCCATAGAAATAATTTGGCCCCGACTTCCGTTTCCGCCGTCTGCCATTTTGCCATTCCTCCAATATCTATTGGTCTTTTGGCCATCCCAACTGTGTCGATAATGGCGTACTGGCCACATCAATCAGCGTGGACTTGATTAATTTGCTTTGATTGTGTCTTTAATTTGCACTCCCCAAATGCAGGCAGTGTGGGTGGAAACAAAAGGAGAAAGAAATACGAGAATAAAACGAAATAAAACCCAAATACAACGAAATAAAATGGGATAAAATACAAATAAAATAAGTAGCCCTTGCTCAGATGTTAATTTGCCACTAATTAGCATTCAAAGGCATTTTTGCACTAATTAAATATTTCGATTGCAGCATCGAAGGGGGCCGCATCCTTGGAGCTCTGTGGGCGTGGCTGTGGCCGTGGGCAGTGGGCGGGGCGTCAAGCTATGCGTGTTAATTATTTCCCGATTCTCTTTCTCCCTTTTTACCGATTTTTATTCGGCCTTACATCGCCAGCGAATTGGAAACTATTCACGGAAAAAACAAACCAATGGCATTGAGGTTAATGTGAAAATTTTTGTAGCCTACTTATGGCCGCGCGCGCTCTGCAGATGGAAACTCATTTTAATTTGAGCAAATTTCCACTCCACTCCCGGGCAGAAAAGCCCAGGGAAAACTGCTTGAGACGCAATCAGCCGTGAACCGCAAAAGGTGAAAAGCGTAAGAAAAGATGGGAAATCCGAGTGGAGCCGGGTGCTCTGGTCGATTGCATAATGCAAATGATTTAGCCAGCGAGCTGCTCGCTGTGCAATTAAGTTTGAAGGTTGGCCATAGTTTTTAGACCCCACCCACCCCCAATGATGATGATGCCCCCCATGTTAAAAAATGGCTTTTGAAAAGTGCAAAAGTGCAAAAACTAAAAAAAAATACTCCACGGGGGCAGCAGCAACAAATCGAAATGAGGCGCCACCAGCTGTGTTTTCCAACTTAAATTGATAGTTGCCGGCGCACTAACGAAGGCAAACGTCAAAGGCCAGGCCACAAATGGAAATGGAATTTTTAAGTTATGCCAAGGCAACTGGGCCAAATGAAGGGGGCGAAATGCTGGATGCTGGATGGATGATAGTGAGCCAGCTACGAAATTGTGGCAAGTGCCTTAATTGAGATTAAAACATTATAACTTGACTTGTTTTACTTTTGCTAAATCATTTCAAACAGCTAAACACGCTTAATGAGAAAAGTTCCGGCCGTGCCAAGTTGTCGGCCATTATGCATATGCATATGTGTGTGTCTGGAAAGGGGGTTTGAAAGGGGGTGAGCTTTTCGAGTATGTGTGCGAGTGTGGGGGCGTGTCGTAGGTGTGACCGTGCCGCATAAAGCATCGAGCACTTGAAAGGCAGCTGCTGCTGCAGCTGCTGATGATGATGCTGCCGCTGACATCCAAAGGCACTTGTGGGCGCTGGGCGCTAGATGCCGGAGGGGGAGGGGGCGTGGCCGACCAAAGTGCACTCGTGTCGTCCACTTGAGCGTTATTGGAATGTAAATGTATGCATATTAAGGCGGTGGGCAGGAAGTCACCGCCGAGTCGCGTCGTCAAAACTTCAAAAGTCATTCAGCAAGGCAAAGCAACAGCCACGCCTCCCACCTCCCACCTCCCGCCCCATGCATCACACTTGGAAAAAAACAGTTAAAGAAATTACTAATCAATAAATGTTTATAGATATCTAAAGTCTATAAGGAGGGTTTTTTCAAGATATTTAAAGGTGCATTCATCAAAAACATATTATTCATAAATTATTTCTAAACTACTTAAAAAAAAAAAATTAAAATTTTTTTTATATAACAGGTTTTCAATTAATGCACCTTTTAATATTTTGAAGAAAATTTTGTTCAGTATATTTAAAAATTTATTTATATATGTAGCTTCAAGAGTAATTTTATTTTTTTCAATTAAATTAATTTAAAAGTTAGGAATATTTTAAAGTGTGCATTATTTTTCCCAGTGCCCTACTTTACACATGTCAACGGGGACAACAGCAAAAAAAGTAAATATACAGAGACGCAAAAAAAGGTGGAAATAAACAGGAAAACCATCATGTTAAATGTAATTATATTTTTAATTTAGAGACAGCGCTCGCTTCGCTGGCAATCTTCAATTAAAAACACAATTACCAGGCCCGCCCGCTGAGCGGGTTGAGGGTGAGGGTCATCCGAAAGGAGGGGGGCGTGGCAGGCAGGATAGGGAGGCTGAGCGGGACAGGAATAGGATATGCCAAGTGCTCTAAAGTTTTGCGGCTTATTCATTGTCCGCCACAACAATAAAATTGCCCAGCAAGGCCTCTGTATCTCTTTCCCTGCCATTGGACCCCACTTTTCCTCAGCGCTTTCCCCGCTTTTCCTGCCGCGGAGATTCCAGAAATTTGCGCCCCGAAAACTTTTTGCACACTGTCAACACGGAAGGAATTATTCCGCATTAAGTTTGCGGTAATGGCAGCGTCAGTCGTCCTTTAACACACTCTCATACACACACACACACACAGCCAAGCCAAACCAGTGTCCTTTTGGCTTTTGGCCGAATGTCCTGGCTCCTGGTTGCTGGCGCGCTTGCTTTTAACATTGTTAATAACCCGACACGCCTCGCATTTATGCACAGCAATGTGCGCTTAAAATTAATGCACTTGCCACTGGGAAATTCCAGCGGAGGTCGAAGGGAAAAGGGAAAACTGGCGACAGAAGTGACCGAAAAGTTGGTCGGTCCAGGGAGTCTATGGTCCATGTCTATGGTCTACCATTTGAATGTTCGCCCAAGGGCTTCCCTTTTTTTTGGAGGGCTTCTTTAGGCAGTTGTTAATTAGATGCACTAGACAGGAGAGAGAGGAGGAGACAGAATTAAGTGGTCAAAGGGTAAGGGCTATTTTTTTCAGCTGATCCAAGCAAGTTTTTAAATAGATAGTAGAGTATGATTCAAAATTTAAAGTACTTACCTTAGTTTCTCAAAGTAATTTTTGTTCCTTAACAAAAATAAAATAAAGCCCTACACCAAAGTAAACCGATTTTACTTACTTACTTTGAGTTTCTGTTCAAATTTGTGTGAACGAGTTTATTGACTTAAGGTGTTGATAGAACTTGAGGACTTTATTTACCAACCAATTAAAGATTTAAAGGGAATTTATTTCAGATATTTTTGAAAGGGCAAGTTAGACCATTTTAAATCCGGAGAAAACAATGTCGAAAGGAGGTTCTATTTTGTAAAATAGCTTGAAACTTTCCCCATGGGACTTTAATCCTAATACCTTGAAAGCTCTCCCTCTTTGGCTCAGAGTTCACTTCAATTTCCATTAACAACTCAAGCCAGTCACATGCAGGCATTTTCCCAAGCCATTTTCCCCCAGTCATTTTTTCTTCTCTGTTTTTCCCCTGTTGTTGTTTACGCCGTCGTGGCGGCCTTGGCTAGAAATTGTTGTGTGACAAATGGCAACAAATAAACATAATAAATAAAAATGCGAAATGCAATTCAGCTCCCCGGAATCGCAGAGTGTAACTAGCTCTGTCCCTCTGTCCTTCAAAGGCCGCCAAGTGGCATTGGTTGGGTGGTTTTCGGTGGGTGGCTATCCCATTGGCGTGCTGCTGTCTGCATGCGCCAACACAATGAGCACAATAAAAAGCCATGCATTTTCCAAACACCAAAAATTGTTCATGGCAACTCTGGCAGCAGCAGCGGCAGCAGAAGAAGAATAACAACCGCACCGGAAACATCTCATTCACTAAATTTGTGGTCGGTTTTTGCCAAGCGTTAGGCAGTCGAAGTTGTGAAATGCCAACGGCAAACTGGAAAATTCGCACAGAAGTGGGTGGTGTGGGAAAATTCGTTGGGGTTTTGGGGTGGGGGAAAGTGGAGAGTGGAAAGTAGAAGCCGTTAGTTACAACAATGCTCGAGGCAACGGAAATTCGGCATGACATAATACGTGCACATGTGAGTGCGCGAGAGTGTGTGTGCGGAATAGGAGTGTGTGGTTGTGTGGCCGCGACTTGAGTTGATACAGCAATAATTCATAAAGTGTTGCATGCAAACGAGGATGCTGCAGCTGAGCTCAGGCGGCTCACACAGATACTCCATATACTCCATGAGTGTGTGTGTGTGCCGCATGCGACAGCGTTGGCAAAATTAAAATTGCTGCACAACAAACAGCGGAAACTCAGCGAGGAGCCAGCAGTCGCAGGAGGAGAAAGAAAACGGAAAATGGCTGTGGGAAAGCAGCAGCAGCGTGCAGCAGGGAAAATGGGGAAAAGCGAGGGGGCACTGCAATGAAATTCATTGTATTCTTACAACTCGACGACTCTGGCAGCTCAGCTCAGGCGGGCCGAGAGCTTTTTTGCCGTAAAGTTATTATTTCATAAAGCCAGAATTATTGAAACAATACTTTACTCTCACACATGGGTTAAAGGGGTGTGTGTGAGCTGGTTGGGAAAAGCGGGAAAACGAGTGAAAACTCCTGTGTGTGTTTGGCATGCAAAATTACGCTTTAGTGGCATCATTTTTTTCTCCCTCTCTCATGCCAGAAAGTTGCAGCTGCGGCTGCTAAAGCAATATAAAATATAAATAGAAATTAAAAGCCAACAAATAAAAATAAATAAAAAAGGGGAAACGAAGTGGGCCGAGTTGGCTACAAAAAATAAAAATAAATAAATAACTTTTCACGACAAACGCAACTTGAGTTGAGTTTTCCCTGCCTCGTTCTTTTTTTCTTGTTGTTTACTGCCCGGAGGAGCAGTTACAAAATGGCTACAGTTTTCATGCGAGCAAACTAAAAGGCTGGGCATATCATTCCTCAAAATGGCAGACATTTGCGTTTGTTTGGCGCGCTTCCTGGCGCTGCCACTTCCGCTTCCGCCGCAAAGAGCCACCGAGAGTACCGAGTAGCAACAAATAAAGTCACATGCAATTAAATAAATATGACAGTCACAGCGGCCCAGGCAGACCAGGCAGCCCAGAACGGCGAACAAGAAGAAAAAACCCAGCCGCAGTTGGGAAGCAGTTGAATAAATAAAGCCGGGCAGGAACAACTTTTCCCGTATATGTTTGATTACATAATTAGTGTCATTTAATTAGACGAAAGGGTCGAAAGCCCCTCGGGCGCAGTGAAAGCGAGAGCCCAACGTGTTGGTGGCACACAGTAAAAATAAACTTGAAAATATTAGTTAAATTAGCTAACATAATATTTTACATTTAGTATTTGCTTTCAAAATATTTTGAGTATTGTTATTTATTCATATTAACTTTAACTTGTTTAAGTGATAATAAGTAAGAGCAAAACTTGGAATTATTATAATAATTATTTTAAATAAATAAAAATAATTCACATCATAATGTTCCATAGTTTATTAGTTAGTTTTTCATTTGTTTAACCTTTTTGTGTTTACCATTTGTATAAACCAAGCTTAAATGCTAGGGCTTAAATATTTATTTCAAAACTATTTCGATGGCACAGCCGCCCCCCTCATAACTCATATAAACCAATGCGAAATCATAATGTATCTCTGGCCCAGTGCACATTATTCATGCAACCCCTTCTAACCCACCGACCACACCCCCTTATGCATATAGAGAACCTTATCAATACGTTTCGCATTTGTTTTCATTTTACGATTGCGTAACGAGATCAGCGTCGACAAATCCGAAAGCCACTAAAACCACAGCTCGCCAGGGGCCACGGAGCGGCCATTCCATGGCCAATATGCCAATTGGCAACCGCCAGTAAGCAGGGGGTCTGAATCAGAAAGGGGTTCCAAAAACGGGGGGGTGGAATACCAGAAGGTTTCGTAGGTGCCTGGCGGCCCTTATCGACGGCGTTATCTGCGAATGAACTGGCACAACTAGCTGGAAAGAAAACAACAAACTAAATAGGAATAGCCAGGCCAAGCCGAGCAATGCGCCAAAGTGTTGAAACAATCGTAAAAAGCTGTTGTTTGCCGTGGGGCACTAGAAAGGATAAAGGGTGGGAATGGGGTAGAGGTAGGGATGCTGAGGGAGGATATATGCCAATAGCAATAGGACCAGCCAACCGACCAACAACAGCAGCAACCATCCCAGGATTAGTACAGATGCAAATGAACAAAGCGATGGCAACGTTCGCGCTCTGGCTTTGGTGGCATATGCAAAACTCGAATGCGAATGCGAATGGGTTGTACGTTGTACGTTGTTCTGCCTGCTGCCTGAACTTAAATACAAAAGGCCAGGACTGCGATAAAAGGACCGACAATCACACACACCCACACACACACACTGGTAGGTAATCGCGAGTGGTTCGCTGCTGAAGTGGATTTTGAGTAGGATATTGCACAACTGTTTGCCAAGTGGCAAGCGCTTGCTGGCAATTAACAGAATATGCTAAACTGCGACAACGAGAGCGGCTCAAAAGCAGAAGTGCTTTCGAAGCGGGGATACCCTGTCGATGGTTGCGATAAGGGCGGCTTTGGCCCAGCCAGCCAGCTAACCCACTGGGTTTAGCATACCCCTAGGCTAAATGTGAATTTGGCTTCTGGTCCCCTTACTCATGCTCTGCCGATTACCAACAAATGCGTTGCCTGCGCTTTTCATGCCACCTCATACCTCACATCTGGGAATCGGAATGGATTTTTTGGGGATGGCGATCTACCGACCATCCCAAAATGAAAGAAGGGGTTAAATTCGATTTGGATATTAGCGATGGCAGTGACGAATTTCCAATAACTTTTCTTATAGAAATAAGAGATTTTAGTTTTATTTTTATTAAGTGTTAAAAAAAGAAAAGGAAGGAAATAAAAATTTTGGAAGAATAGTGTATTTATCCCAATAAAAATATTTTATCCAATAAGCAGATAAAAATAATTGTTTTAAGTTTAACAGCCTTTTGGCGATATTATTTCTACCGAAATAATGTATTTATCAATTGTAATTACGGCCCAAGAAATATTCCTACCATGTAAATTCCGGAAACATTCTTCCGTTGGTAAATTAAACACATTTCGCTTTCCCCACTTTCAGCTCAGCAAATCGGATGCCATGTCGGTCACGCTGAGAGGTGTCACCCGGGAGCTGAGTGGCAGCTATCAGTGCGAGGTCTCCGAGGACGCACCACTCTTCCACACGGAGATTCGATCCGCTCACATGCAGGTGGTCGAGATGCCCAAAGACGATCCCGTTTTGCAGGTGGACAAGAAGGTGATTGGCGTGAACGACCACTTCAAGGCTGTGTGCACGGTGGGGCCATCTTATCCGGCGGCCAACATCACATGGAGCATAGGCACGCGCACGGTGAGTAGAAGGATGTTCAAGGATTAAAGCTCCAAAAAAATATCCAAATACTCGTAACACGTAATGATTCTTAAATGTATAAAAAAAAAATCAAAATCGGTTTATAATTACAACGAATTAAAAATACAAATGTTCGCAAAAATCCTCACATTTACATAAATGTAAACCCAAAAAAGAAATTCAGTTCATTAGATTTTGAAAACACAAAATCGTTTATTTAGCCAAGTCGTCAGGCTTTTTCCTGTCCGTTTGTTTTAATGTAAAGTAGCGTTTAAATCTTAAAATCGAATGGGAAATTAGAGTTTAAAGCTTCCTTAAAATTTAACAGGATGATGAAAAAAACGGCCTTGAATTTGCTTTACAGTAAACTAAAATTTTTATTATGCCAGATGTTTTAGTTTATGTCTTTGAATTTTATTTTATGAAATGTTAAAATAAACTTTCTGGATATTTTTTATTTTGAAAAAAATGTATATTTTATATTGTGCCTTTTTTTTTGTGATAATTTTTGACGATTAAGCTTGCTAACTTGTTTTTCAATTTACCCGCAGATCCACCCAACGCAACTCCAGCGCATCACGCAGGACGCCTACGAGGGCTCCACCACGTACTCCTCGCTGGAGATGTTCCCGCACAACCAGATGCTCCGCGGCTTCTTCGAGACCAAGTACCAGTACACGGTGCCCCTGCAGTGCACGGTGGCGATTATGAACATGTTCCACAAGGTTGTCGAGCAGCGGCTCACCCTGAATATGTCGCCGCCGACGACCATATCGCCCAATCTGCTGGGTCTGGAGGGATCCAAGCGGTATGCCAACGGGGATCCGGACAACTCGGCGCTAACTGGCGCCTCGCAGCGCTGCTGCATTTGCTGCGGAGCTTTCGGCGCCATTTCGCTGGCGATTTTCACAATGGCAATGGCGCGGCAACTGTGACCGCAGCGGACAGCCTAAATGCGTAATGGAAAACGCCAAACGGGATGCAGCCGGACAAGTCACCTCCAAGGAAGAAACAACAGTGCGAGCTGTGTAATTAAAAAATAACAAAATGCTTAATTGCGCAAAAAACAACAGCAGAGGAAATGCAAAAATCAAAAGCAAAAAAACGAAAAAAAATTTAATGGGAGCGGGGAAAATTGTTGGCGACAGCGACCCTGCATTGTCAACGCCTAGTAGCATGTCCTTGTATTTTATATATTTTTCATTCGAATATGTTGCCTCATTCGCCAAACAAAAACAAGCAACTGGGTCGCATGTCCATAAGTTCAAAAAGCGAAGTAATATTTTCAATGCATTAATTCATTTGCGATGGCTACATACAAAATTCTGATAATAACAATACATTAAACATAAGTCAGTCGGGGGCTGAATTTCCACACAAGCTCGAGCATAGGTCGAAGGAAAGGTTAAAGTAATAATAGTAAAAGTAAATATATATAGCGTAAATTTAATACCTAACATGCGTAATTGCATGTTGTGGATGTGGAGGCGTGATGTTGAACTCTTTGAAAAGAAAAAAATCGAAAAATGAAAAACAAAACTGCCTGCAGACAACATAAAAGTATAGGAAAAAACAGATCGAATCCATAAATTTAAATAAATTAACACATGCACTTGCAAACAAACTTTGCAAACAAATTACATAACAAAAGAAAAACAACAATTAATAAGCATAAGTGACACACATTTAACTACTAAGTACACCCTACCCTCCAACTACCGCAGCCTAGGCACATAAGTTATGTAAATAATTACTGTAAAGAACTAAAGAGAAAAAAAACCATAATAATAATAAATTAATAAATACGAAACCCGCACATGGGCAAACATTAATTAAAGCTAGAGCAAAGTGTGGAGAAAAAGTTAAATACAAAACTAATTAAGTCCTTGTGAAAAAATCAATGAAATCAAAAAAGTCAAAAATTGATATCGGCCAAATTCAGTTTAATTGAATTTGTTTTAATTTCAATTGTGGCTTATTTGCGGTATTATTTTGGTCCGTTTTCTGTTAAAAAGTTTGCGTTAGCAGTCTTTGTTTTAGACTAAATTTCCATAAATAAATGCAAAATATATATATATTTATCGAATAATAATTGCGGAGGCGAGAGAATTTAGTGCGTCTATGTTAGTTGGAAGATGTTAAGAGTATTTTCTGCGCAACTAACTAAAAGTAAATCCAAACTCCTTGGCCAAAGGACTATTTTTAGACGTTCGTGCGCAGCGCAAGCTCACTGAGAAAAATTCCACATTGCGTTTGTTTGTGCATCTCAGCTAAGAAGAAAAAATCTACCAATGTAAGCTCCAAAAATGCAAAATACATTGTAAATCAAAACACAAAAAAAAAAACCATATTATTTTAGCGTGTTGTGGGCAGGTCGAAATAACTGACAAAACTGAAACTAAACTTAACTAAACTAAACCAAAAAAGGCAAACTAATAATAAAATGTAAAATCAAACTTAAATACAGGAAAACGAGGAAATAATACAAAACAAACCAATGAGAGCAAATGAGTCAACGGGAGGAAATTATATATTAAATATGCATAATTATGAATAATTTAATGCGAGTTAAGCAAAGCCAAAAAGGTCAAACGAAATCAAACCACACACAGAAACCAACAACAAAGTGCACGCTGATGTGGGCGTGGAATTTAGCTCAAAATTAAATGCGATAATGGCAAGAATTATATGACGAAATAAATAAATAATACAAAATGTACGAGCGTGTTTTATTGCCATTTAACTAGGGGGTGGCTACGATACGGGGCTCAAAGTCTAGCACTTTAGGTGCGCATAATTAAGGCAATGATCCCGTTATTAAGGCACAACCTATAGAGTTCTATAGAGGGTGCATGCCAGGACGAAGTTGGTCCTTGTTCCGCGCGTTCGCCTACAACAGCTGCACTTACATGCAACACCAGTTACCAACTGAAGCTGATATCGCTGACACAGCCGGCGAGTGCAAACACACAGGGTGGAGGGGGATCAGAAACCAGGGTCCTGGGTTCTGGGTCCTGGGAACAGGAACAGGACCAGGCCATCGCCAGCGTCTCATGTTTTGTAAATTAAGCAAACAAATTAAGTGCACTTGGCGCCCGGCACACACACACACACACTCTGTGTGTTCTCTGCGCGCCCCATGTAAACACATTGTGATTGTAACAAAAGCATATATTTCAAAACACGTACGCCTGTTTCCCCCCTGCGTTCATCGTTCGTCCTTGAGCAAAGCTGCCGCTCAAGGACACCGGTCGCCCACCCTCTGCACACCGTTAGTTTGTCTTAATTAGTTGCAGCAACAGGAACAGCAATAGCAGCAGCACCGCTGCCACATCCCGTGGCACGTTGCAAAGGCCACAGGATGGCAAAGCCACCGCGCGACCCAGCTCGTATTATTTACAAGCCATTGGCTGCAGCCAAGACCCAGCCACAATTTCAACTTTGCTCCAACCAGCCAGCTAGCCACCCACTTTCTCAACCCTTTCGCCATAATTGTGCAGTCATCGTGCTGTTTAAAGTTTTACACGTAACCATATTGCCAAAGAGCTCGCACACACGGCGTATGCGTAACGCAAAATGAGTAGGCAAAACGCTCAGACATTACACATACGCCACGTGCTGTGGGGAGAACTCAGGTCGCAGGTCGCAGGACTAATAACTGAGGACTGAGGACTCAAGGCTCGAGACCTCTTCAATCGACTTCAATACTGCTGACACAGCTACTGAGTAAACATGTGGCTTATTCTGCTGAGTAAATCCACTATAATTACACTAGGCTGCAAGGTGGAGAAACCAATTTCGCCGAGGGAAGATGAAGAGTTATGAAAGTAGTGGTAGTCCTTTTGTTGAACTTTCTTAATTTCTTATCATGGCAGCCAACAGTACTTTAGAATTCAGTCTAAATTGCCAGAAAGGAATTGGAAACTACCCACTAAATAAAGCATTTTTAAATATTAATAGTTTTTAATTGGTTCTCAATTAATTATTTTTTTAGTATATTATATTTCGTAGATCTTTTCATATTGTGCCTTTATTAACTACATTATGTTTAAAATTATTTATTTTTTTAAATTATAATAAAATACATATAAATAAATTTATTTAAATAAATTGTTATAGATGTAGGAAAACTATATATTTCACAAACTTTTATTAGGATTTTTATCCGAAAATCGTATTATAATGTTTAAGGATCACGTTTAAAGCAAATTAAAGGCATTTAAATGTTTAGCAGCTTGTTTCTCATCACTAAACTATAAACTCTGTTGAGTTATCCAACTTTGCTGAAATGTGTTTCCGATTGGAATGGCACCACTATATGGCTGATGCTAATCCTAGTCGCTCTGCGGGTAAGCCAATACTAATGCAAATGCGCCATTTTAATTAAATGCGTATCGGGCTACAAATAATGCAAATGGGATACTCCGGGGCTCTACTCCCTCAGCCGCCGTTTTGCCAAAAACATCAGGAAAATGAGTTGCATATTTTGAAGCATGATCTCGCTCACTGCTCCCTTTCGATACTAAGCGGAGCTCCTGAATGCCAGGACAATGTTTCACAGCCTCCACTTTCCAGGGGGCGTGGCAGCGCGAAATGATTTGGTTTATGGTCTCTGCATGCATTTAACAACACAAAACGTCGGCAGCAAACACAGTGGCCATTGGCTGAGCGGCCAGCTGACTGGCTGGCATGGCAAACGCAAAAACATTGTTAAAATACAGCAACATTTTTGGATTTATAGCGCGCTAATCGCGGCCAAACAGCAAAAGGGGGATGGTGGGTGTTTGGCTTCGTCTGGTATTCCGAATTGTAATGGAAATTGAAATGCAAATGCATGGCATGACATTTACGAGTGCTTCTGCAGCAGCAGCAACATCAGACAAGAGCCAGGACAGGCCCTGCCAAAAACTCAACAATAAAATGTTGCAACTAAATACACGGGGAGAAGAACAAAAGATCGGATTTCAAACTGACTTCATTAGCGGATAGACCCGGTAAAAAATTAAGCCTGGGAGTAAACCAATAAATTTATGAAAATAAATACCAAAAGCGGATGTTTTTGAACAGATTTCATTAAAAGGTAAGACAGTTTTTCTTTAAATAATGAAAACTTTTTAACGGACGGACAGACAGACGACAGACTGACGGACGAACAGACGGACGGACAGACGGGCAGACAGACGGACGGACAGACAGAGTGACGAACAGACGGACATGGCTAGATCGACTCGTCTAGACATGCTGATCAAGAATATATATACATTTTAGGGTCACTACGTTGCAAACTTCTGACTTAAATCCTTCAATCCCCAAGGGTATAAAAATCATAATACAATTCTTTGCAACTTCTTCCATAAATCGTAATAAAGTATGTAATTATTCATAAACCAAAACTTATTTACTTCAAAATATGTGTTAGAAGTTAAAGCTTTTTCTTATATCAAAAAAGGGATTTTATCAAATTTATTTCAAGTATTTTCTCTCAGTGTCCGGCGCCCGTCGCTGGAATCGACGTGCACTTGGCAGGCCGGGCGGCTTACTTGGCCGGCATTGTGTTTTCATTTCGCAAATGCAAAACAAGACACTGCCGGCCACGCCCCCAAATCGAGACAGCCTATAGATTTATGGCCGCGCAATTAGCGAAAGAAACAGATTTGCGCCGAGCGGGAAATATATATTCATGGCTTAGTTCTATATTTAAGGCGTGGTTCCAGGAATGAAGAAACGTTTTATGGCAGCCCGAGGAGAACGAGGCACCGAAAACTGGTGATGAGCATCTTTTATGACAACCATCCGACGCCTTGGACATGCAGCTGACGGGAACGTGATGAATGCAGCTCCCTGAGACGACATTGCATCATAAATTCAGCAAGTGACGTTTAGCAGCATCTCCCCGATTTCAGTTGGCTGAAATCCAAAGTCAGAAGGTGCCATAATGCTGCTGCTACGTGCATTCCATTTGGCTTTGATTCGAAGCCATTGATCAAATCAAGCAGCTTTAAGCAATAAATTCTGAATTTCTGAATTCAAAATTCAAAACTAGCAAATAAACACTTATTATGGGTGCAGAGTGTGCTTCGTGTTCGGACTTCAAAAGAGATGGAGATGGAGGAATATTTGTGGCAATCGTTTAAGCAAATTGACTTTGCTTGTTCTGTCAGCCGTTGTTTGGCCTGGAAATTTGCTAATTTTACGTTGAATTAAGATAAAATCTGCTTACACTGGGCTTATGAAACCAAACATCTACTCAAACCAAGGCGAAAGCCAACCCTTTTATTCGGGGAAACTCTTTTGTTGTCAGCGGGGGCGTGTTGTACTTCCCCCGATTGTTTTCAGATTCCGAGAACAACAAGAGCAACTCAGCTACAGTTTATTATTTTTGCTCATCAGTGGAGCCGCCTCCGCCGCCTTCCCTTTTCCAACTTTTCTCCCCTTTTTGGTTGAAATAATGTTGTAGGCACTTTTTCGGCTGGCAGAAGAAGCCTTTTCTGCAGCAACAATTTGTAGCGCAGAGATTAAAACTTTTAATTTGCTTTTAATTAATTAAGTTGAAAATCACAGCTGAAAGTCACTGGATTCCTCATTCCCAGCTCTCGTTTACACGCTGCACGCTTCACCAGTTGGCAAAGAGAAGAGAAGCCCCTCCTCCACCGCCTCTTAAAAGTGTTTAACATGCCCCCTGAAAACCCTTGTCGTTGATTTTTCGGAAATGAAAGTTGAATTTTTATAGGTGTTTAACTTGCTGGGCAAACTCGTTTACCTGGGCGTTTAGTTTGCCATCATTAAAGTTGGCCAACTTAAAGCGTGTTTTGTGCTATTTTTGAGGCTCTCGAAAATAAGTTTTATCCTCACATACTTGTGCACTCTTGCTATCACGTCGACTTGGCTGGAAACATTCATCAAAGTAAAAGTGGAAAAGTTCCTCCTCAGCCGCAGTGGCCATATGCAATTCAATTTGCATGGTTGGCCTTGGAATCAGTATCAGAAACAGAAACCAGTTAGATGCCTTGATAATGGCCAAATAAAGAAAATCTCCAGTGGAGAGTGAGAGTCGAGAGTTTTGGTTTGGCTATTAAAGCTAATTGAAAACTTTATTCGATCATGACGCAAACCCAACCCGGAAATTGCGCTGCTTTCTGCTGAGCATCAAAATATTCTCTGTCCTGGTATTTTCAACATTTCCTCACACACTCACCGCTTTCTTTTGTGCCGCACTTTTCGCCATTCATGTGGAAGCATGAAGTCAAGGTGACTACTGATGCCACCTGATACAGATACACGCAGCTGCAGCTTTTGGCCCAAAAAACCAGGCTACACGATTGTTACGGCACTCGATGCAGTCGATGTCCGCCGCTGCCTTTGATGTTTCCTCCGTTTTTTAGCTCTTGCCTTTCGCCATATATATCTTTGGCGGAAAGAACAGAACCTCCACTTCGAAGTCGACTTCTGCCTCTTGGCTACATGGAAGAAAAATGTGAGTATCATATCTCAAATTAGCTTTAAACTATGATAAAGAATTGAGAGGGTTGGAATTTCTTTAATATATTAATTTCAAATTAGCTTTAACTATGATAAAGAATTGAGAGGGTTTGAATTCCTTAATATAATAATTTCAAATTAATAGAGAATGTGTCTAAAAGTATGCTACAAAATATTTTATATCGAAAAATCCCTTGTATTTATAACAAAATATCACATCATACTCATGGGCGCGTTTA